CGCCTGGCATTGCGTGCGGCCCGGGTTGGATCCTCAGCACCACATACAAACAAAGATGTTAAAAATAAATATTAAAAAAAAAAGTAGGAATTGAAGGGGACTTCATAAAGGACACCTACGAAGAGCCCTCATATAACATTGCACTTAATGACAAAAACCATCGTTACCCTCTGATCAAGAATAACACAAGGATGTCTGCTATTGCAACCACTTCTGTAAACGTTGTACTGGAGGTTCTGGTGAGGACAGCTGGGGGAGAAGGAGAAATAGAAGGCATCCAACTGGAATCGAAGAAGTAAAACTGTCTCCATTTGCAGATAACTTGACCTTACACACAGAGAACCTGGAGAGCCAGGGACAGTGTTGCACGCCTGTAATCCCAACGACTTGGGAGATTGAGGCAGGAGGATGGCAAGTTTGAGGCCAGCCTCAGGAACTTAGCAAGACCTTGTTTCAAAATAAAAAGGACTGGGGGAAGTAGTTCCATAGTAGAAAACCCCTGGGTTCAATCCCCAGAACTACAAAAAAGAAACCCCTGAAGATTCATGCATATACTGTTAGAGCTAGCAAGTGAGTTCAGTTCACATCTCTTGTGGGATACAAGATCATCATTAAAAAAAAAAAAAAAATCAGTTGTACTTCTACGCACAGCATTGAATAGTCCAAAATGAAATTAAGAGAATGGTTGCATTTATAATAGCATCAAAAACAACTAAATACTAAGCCAGGCATGGTGGTGTGTGCCTGCAGACTCAGCCACTTGGGAGCTAAGGTGGGCTTTCCAGCCAGCCTGGGCAAGTAAAGATCTGTCTAAACAAACAAACAAAATCAGCTTTAGGAATAAATTTAACCAAACAAGTAAAAGTCTTGCATACTGTGAGCTACAGAACATCATCAATTTTTTTTTTTATAAAGAGAGAGTGAGAGAATTTTTAATATTTATTTATTTTTTTTTTAGTTCTCGGCGGACACAACATCTTTGTTGGTATGTGGTGCTGAGGATGGAACCCGGGCCGCACGCATGCCAGGCGAGCGCGCTACCACTTGAGCCACATCCCCAGCCCAGAACATCATCAAAATTTTTAAAAATTAAGAGAAATAAATGGAAAGACATTCTGTGTTTATGGTTTGAAAGACCTGGTACTGTGATTAAGTGGCTAGGGTGTAGCCCAGTGGTAGAGCACTTGCCTAGCATGCTTAAGGTCCTGGATTTGATCCCTAACACCTCCCCCTGAAAAAAATATGAAGATAGCCATACTCCCTAAATTGAGGCTGATTTAGTATAAGCTCAAATTTTTCTTATGTGGACAACCTGGTCCTGAAACTCATGTGGAAATAAATGCAAAGAATGAAAGCTGGGTGCGATGGCACATACCTGCAATCCCAGCAACTCAGAAGGCAGTGGCAGGAGGATCAAAAGTTTGAGGCCAGCCTCAGAAACTTAGTGATGCCCTAAGCAAGACGATACCGTTTCAAAAAATAAAAAGGATTAGTGATGCAGCTCTGTGGTAAAGCACCTCTGGGTTCAATACCCAGTACACGCCCCACCCCCAAATTGTGACCCATAGAATGGGAAAAAAATCCTATAACCATTGAGAGTATAGCATGGGGGGGGGGTTGGGGCTGTGGCTCAGTGGCAGAGCGCTTGCCTTGAACATGTGAGGCACTGGGTTCAGTCCTTAGGACCACATACAAATAAATAAACAAAATAAAGATATTGTGTCCATGTATATAACTAAACAAACAAACAACATGAGTATAGTATCGTCCATCGTGGTGGTACACACCTGTGATCTCTGTGGCTTGGGAGGCTCAGGCAGGAGGATTGCAAGTTCAAAGCCAGCCTCCTTAACAGCAAGGTACAAAGCAACTCAGTGAGACCCTGTCTCTAAATAAAATACTAAAAAGGGCTGGGGATGTAGCTCAGTGGTCAAGTGCCCCTGAATTCAATCCCTGGTACCCCCCCCCAAAGAGTCTGGTATCCACAATGTATAGAATTCTTACAATTCAGCATAGTAAGACACATATCCCAATCAAAAGTGGGTAACTGCCAGCTGCAGTGGGACAGGCCTGTAATCCCAGCCCTCCGGAGGCTGAGACAGGAGAATCACAAGTTCAAAGCCAGCCTCAGCAATGGCAAGGGGCTAAGCAACTCAGTGAGACCCTGTCTCTAAATAAAATTAAAATAGGGGGCTGGGGATGTGGCTCAAGCGGTAGCGCGCTCGCCTGGCATGCGTGCGGCCCGGGTTCGATCCTCAGCACCACATACCAACAAAGATGTTGTGTCCGCCGAGAACTAAAAAATAAATATTAAAAAATTCTTTCTCTCTCTCTGTCTCTCTCTCCTCTCTCACTCTCTCTTTAAAAAAAAAAAATTAAAATAGGGCTGAGGAGGTGGCTCAGTGGTTGAGTGCCCCTGAGTTCAATCTCCAGTACCAAAAAAAAAAAAAAAAGTGGGCAAGGAATCAAAATAGAAGTTCCCTCCCCCAAGGAAGATATGCAAATGATCAGTAGGCACCTGAAAACATGCCTGGGTCACTATTCAAGAGGAAAATAGAAATCAAAGCCACAAGGAGATAACAGCTCTCACCCACTAGGGTACTTAAAAAGAAAAAAAGAAAAAGCTATTAGGAAATTCGGAAGCACTGGTGTTGATGTGGAGAAACTGGAATCCTACACTGCTGGTGAGAATGTGAAAGGGTACAGCCACTAAGGAAAGGAGCTTGATAGTTCTCCAAAAGTTAAAGATGCCAGGTGTGGGGTATAGATGCCACCTGTAAGCCCAGCGACTGGGGAGAATGAGACAGGAGGATCACAAGTTGGAGGCCAGTCACTCAGTGACTTAGTGAGAGCTTGTCTCAAAAAATTAAAAGGGCAGGAGCTGGGCACAGTGGCTCATGCCTGTAATCCCAGTGACTTGAGAGGCTGAGGCAGCCTCAGCAACAGAGAGGCTCTAAGCAACTCAGTGAGACCCTGTCTCTAAATAAAATACAAAAACCAAACAAACAAACAAACAAAAAACAGCTGAGGACATGGCTCAGTGGTTGAGTGCCCCTGAGTTTAGTCCCCAGTCCCCAGTCCCCCTTCCCCCCACAAAAAGGGCAGGGGACTTAGGCCCATAATAGAGTGTCCCCCAGTTTAATCCTCTGTAACACACACCCACACCCACATACATCACCGAGTGACTATATTCTATCTCCAGAAGAATTGAAAACATGTTTACACAGAAACTTGTATACAGATGTTCACAGCAGTAGCAGTGACTCAAATGTCCATAGATTTATGGAGAAACAAAAGGCTATGTCTATACAAAGGAATATTACTCAGTCATAAAAAGCAGCCAGAGTACTGACACATGCTACAATGTGGATGAAACATGAGAACAAGACACAAAGTATCTTCCCCAGGAGGCCTACACCCACCCCTTTGCTGTTGTCTTTTCTCTAGTGATTCCTGAGAAGTTCCAGCACATCTTGCAAGTACTCAACAGAAATATCCATAGGCATCAGAAAACAGCCTTTGCCATCACTGCTGCTAAGGGTGTGGGGCGAAGATGTGCTCCTGTGTTGAGGAAAGCAGATGTTGACCTCATCAAGAAGGCTGGAGGGGGGCTGGGGATGTGGCTCAAGCGGTAGCGGGCTCACCTGGCATGCATGTAGCCCGGTTCGATCCTCAGCACCACATACAGACAAAGATGTTGTGTCCGCCAAATACTGAAAAATATTTAAAAAAAATTAAAATCTAAATGTAAAATTACATATTAGCTTGTGTAAAAGGGGTGGCATTGACGTCTTCATGAGATAAAATGTCACTGAGCAGCCTTCCCTAGAGCTGGCCTGAAGCTGAGCAGGGAAGCTGGCCAAGCTGGGGAGGGAGTGTCTCCTGCACCTTTAGCCCTAAAGGGCAGGAGGGAAGGCCTGGGCGGGTGTTGCCTTCCTTCTTGGGCAGAGAGGTTGACGCCTTTGTCACCAGATCCAGAGATGATGTTTGAATGTGACTAATTAAAAAAACCTGCAAACCATGGCGATTAAAACAACATAAAAGGGTGGGCGTTTTATGTAATTCGAGGAGCATTACTATTCAGACAGAACTCCAAAATATAGTACCTTGGGGAGGTTATTCATCTAACCCTAAATATGTTCAGTCCCATCCGGGGATGGGTGGGGGGTGGGGTGGGGTAGAAGGAGGGTCAGAAAATGCAAGAACTCCAGGGGAGCAGAAACTTGGACAAGTTCCTCTCTGGTTCCCTCAGCGCCTAGCAAGGTGCCTGGCATACAGAAGGCGCTCCCCCTAAATCCTGGCACCAGTTAACGTGCAAAATTACGTGGTCGGGAGGGCGAATGTTCCAGAGGAGGAGGCCTCTCGTTTTTGTCAGTCTCAAAGGAGTCTGAGGTCCCCAAAGGGTTAAAAACCACTTAATACAGGCAGGGACATGAAATTTATTCGAAATCAATGTCAGGAACGGGCTATTCTAATCCTGGGGCACAGCCAGCCCTGGGCATCTGGAATAATCTACGTGCTTGAGAGAAGACGGGTCGCCACCATTTTCTCCAGGTAATTTTCCACCCCTGCCCCCACAGTCCCCAAAAAAGTACTTCTCGGGTCCCGCTGGCTCCCTGGGAAGGGGCAGGGGCGCGCGGGCGGCGGCGGGGGGCGCGGGCCGGCACCGCCAGGACCCCAGCCCCCTAAACTTTGGCAAGTTGCGGGCGCCGGGCGCCGCCGGAGGCACGGGGCGCGGCCGCGGGCGGAGCCGCCCCCTGACGCCGCCGCCCCTCCCGGCCGGGCCGGCCCCGCTGGCTCGGCTCAAAGTTTGCGGCCGCCCCTGCGCCGCGCGCCCGATGTATGGGTGATATACTGCGGCGGTGTCAGGGTGAGGGACGGCCATATTTGCCGGTGCGGCCCGAGCCGTCAACAACAAAAAGTGCGCGGGCGCTCGGCGGGCGCTCGGACGGGCGCGGGGACGCGGGGGCCGCCGCGCCGCCGCCCGGCCTCGCCGCCGCCGCCGCCCTCGCGGCCTGGCCCGGCTGCGCCCGGCGCGCCCGCCGCCCGGGGGGATGTCGTACAAGCCGAACTTGGCCGCGCACATGCCCGCCGCCGCCCTCAACGCCGGTAAGTGAGCGCGCCCGGGCCGCGCCCCAAGTGCCGCCAAGTTGGGGGCCCGCGCGCGCGGCCCTGCCCGGCGTGCCCGGGGGCTCCGCGGCGGTCGGGGGCGGCGGGCGGCGGGCGGCGGGCGGCGGGTCCAGGCAGGGGCGGCGCGGGCCGCCGCCATGATCCCCACGCCGCGCCGCCAAAGTTGGCTGGTGCGCCCCGCGCTCGGCGGCCGGGGCCGGGGCTGGGCGGCCGCGGGGACCCACGCCGGCGGCCGCGGGCGCGGGGCGCCTGGCGGGGGAGGCTTTCTCTCGCTCCTTTTTCCTCCGGCTTTTGGGCGGCTCGGCGAGGGCCCCTGCCGGCTGGAGGCGGGAGCAGCCGCGCGGGGGGCGCGGGGCGCAGGGCGCAGGCCGGCTGCGGGCGCGCGTGCGGGGCCGGGCCGCGCGTGGGCAGGGCGGGGGCGGCCAGGTGCACGGGGCCGGGGGAGGGGCTGGGGGCGCGGGCGGCGGGAACTCGTGGCAAGGGCCCTGGCCTGGGCGGGCGCTGGGGGAAAGAAGTTGGCGGAGAGGCGCGGCTGCGGGGGCCTGCGGGCGTGAGGGGGCAGCGGAGCCGGGGTCTGCGTCCTGGAGCCGCCGCGTCCGCGCCCCCAGGGCCACTCTGCAGAAGGTCGAGGGGCTCCTCTCCCACCCGGGCTGGCGTTGAGCGCTCTGGGAAACTCCTCCAGAAGTTGTCAGGCAGCTCTAGGCTGTGCCCAGGGACTGGCCCCAAGCACCGAGGGAGCCTTGGGGAGGGGTGTGAAACCGTGGCCTTCGGGGGTGACCGGCTTTGGGGTCCTCTCCAGGGCCCCTCCTCCTGAGGCACTTGGCTGAGAATGAACTTAAAAAGCGAGGTGCGTTGGGGGTGGGGCATGCAGAGAGGGCAAAGGGTCTGGAGGAGCTAGGGGACTTGCCAGGCTGGTCAAAAATGCCACGCTGGCGGCTGGCTTCAAGTTCAGGGCCTTGCCTGCAATCATTGATTCCAGCACTCTAAAATTCCCAAGAAAGACCCAAAAAGCGAGTTTTGTTTTTTTTTTTAAACTAACTTCTCAGCGGCTGACATTTGGGGTTTGGAAAGGGTTAAGATTCGGGTGCTAGTGAGGGAGAGTTGAATTGCTCACATGTGAGCTGAGCGCCCTTAGAACAGGCAGCCACGATTTGGTCTCTGTCACCCGCCTGGGGTCCGTAGACCTTACAAAGACAGGCTTTGTTGCCAGGTAGGATTTCTGTGTCCGGGTGGGTGGCACTGCCAGCCTGGACAGGGCTAGAGATCTTGGGCCTGTTGTGCGGTACTTGGAGCAAAGGCCCTAACTGGGACCTTTGGGGCCTGGGGTCATAATGACAAAGGTGCCCACTGGGATCCCGAAGCCTCTGTTCTGGGTGGCTAGTACCTGTGTGTACCTTTTTTTCTTTATCCTGTGGAGGAGTGCCAGGAAGAATACAGAGGTCCCCACCTGTCTGGGGTTTTAGTAGGAGGCCACCCACCTCCTGGGGGACCCCTTTGCAGAAAGCCCACTGTCCCCTGCCATCTGCATCCAAGATGGACTCTCACTGCCGCTCCTGCGGCTTCCCTGTCATCATTCCTCACGCCCTCCAGCCCTGCCTCCTGCTCATGGGTTGCCAAGCTGCGGCCTGGCCGGTGGTGGCAGTGGCGGAGTTAGACAAAGCCCCTGCCTCCCCCGCCCGAGAGCCCCCCCAGGCGCCCCAAGTGGCGGGAAGGCCGCCAGCTCCCCAGGCCCAGGCTGCTCTTTGTCTGGCGTGGGGGCGGGGAGCTGCGCCTGGCCCCAGGAGCTTCCTGGCCTCTGCCAAGCCCTCCCGGCTCCCTGTACACTGTGCTCATTGTCTGAGATGCGCTGCTCCACGGGCTTGTGCTGACGTGGAGCTGCCTCTCGGTGGCCTCCCCTGGCCAGGTCCCTGTGTCTGCAGGAAGGAGTGGGCGTGAGCGGCACTCAGGGCCCTTCCACCAACTCTCCCTGGGACCGGGCATACCCCCAACACTGAATAAAGGTCTGGCCCTGGTGAACCAGGGTCCTCTGCCACTGCACCTGGGTGACCGGAATGCCAGTCTTGGAGCTATTGCTCAACTCCTACAACTGCAGTGAGGCGACTTATTCCTCTTCTCCCCATGCCCAAACCTCCAAACCTAACTTCATCAAACTGTAGATTCTAGACCTTCTATTGGGGAGCATTGCCTCTGACAGATGGAGAAACTGAGACCCAGAGAGGGAAGCACCTTGTTGAGGATCACACAGCCAGGGGTGGTACAGGTGCGATGGGCCCCTAGTCCAGGAGGGAAGAAGGGTCCAGGGGAGGTGAGAAACAGTGAAAAGAGCTCCAAGGAACAGGGCAGAAGGTGGTCCAGGGCTTCAAGGACGTGGCCAGCCCACCTCCTACCCGGCGTTGGAGTCTTCTAACCACCTCCAAGTGCTGTGCAGTGGCATGCCAGCCTGTCATAGCTGCTCTGCCTTTCTGAGCCCAGAGTGATGTGATGGCCTGCAGCAGTCAGGATTGGAACCCAAGCCTCGGACGGACTGTGGAGCCTGTACCCCCAGACCTCACGCAGGCCACATCCAAAGGCTCTGGATACTGGGGTCTGGCTGTTATGGTCAGGGAGCAGGGGTTGCCACCCTACCTGTGTGTTGGTGGCTGTATGGCCATGGTTTCTGTGGATGGGGGTCATAGGTATGCTTGTCTGCATCCCCATCCTGTGCAGCATGTCCCCATAGCACAGGTGTCTAATCATCCCCACTGAGGGGCGTAGAGCCTGGGCTTGGAGTGGACAGTGCTCAGTCCGGCTCAGGATCTGGATCCACACTGGAGCACAAACCTGGGTCCCAGGGGGGAAACCGTGCAGGCCAGAAGGAAGACACCTCAGCTGCTCTCCCCAGCTTCTGGGCAGAGGGATTGTCGGGCGCTGGCTTGTTGCTCAACCTCTTCTGTGGCTCTGAGCCTCTCTGCAGTTGGGGCTTGGATCCAGGGTTCTCAGGGCCCCTCCCAGCTCCAGCAGCCTGGGGCTCCTGAACTTCCTCCTGCCCCTCCCTTCGCCCATACCAAATGAGCAGCTGGTCTGTTGGCTGGCCTAGCACCAGCTGTCCATCCCTGGGGCCAAGTCCGTGGAGCCCGCTGTATGTGAGACACCATTTGGCTCTGGGGGCGACAGGCAGGCAGCTGCTGAAGAGGACTAGGTAAATTCTCCATGGTTACCACCGCTGTTTGTAATTCTGCAGGACATCCTTTACCCGCTAATGGCCACTCGGACGCCATTATGGGTCTGCATGTTCCTGCCACTGCCCCCCCCACCCCCAACTTACATCCAGGAGCTGACATTCTTTTAGCTGGGCTCTGGACTGTACTTGGTCCCCAACTGCTGGCTACAGACAGCATGCCCAAGTGTTGCATTCCATGGGTGGGGCCTAGCCCTCCCCTCTCAGGGTGCAGAGCCCTGGGGGGGGGGGCATAGACTGTCATCAATCCTGTCCCTTTTTGGGGGAGGAATGACATTGGCTCAGAGTGGTTGAGAGGCCTGTCTGAGGCACACAGGCTGTGATGTTAAGAGTGCTGTTCTGGTGTGCAGGGTACCTGTCGACAACTGAGGCTGGGCTCAGTTCCTTCGAGACCTTCAGGTCTTCAGTCTCTGTTACATATTGTGTGCAGAGACCAAGCACACAAGAACAGGGGCTTCCATGTGTATGAGATCTTGGTCCTGGGGGACTTTGTAGCAGGGACATGGCTCTAGGTCACCAGCCTCTAGTGTGCAGGATGCAGGGACAGATAGTAAGGATTAGACTGAGAAGGGTAGATTTTGTCTTTGGTGCCAGTCCCCTCTTGTGTGGAAGGCTTGYGTGGCCGGGAAGGGCCAGTTATCAAGGCTGCATGTCAGGAACGTGGCCTTTGGAGGTCAAGAGCAGAGTTCTCTGCCCTGTGAAGAGCAAAGATCACAGATGGTGACGTGGGTCCCAGTGTCCTTGCCTAGGGTGCAGTTAGCTAAGGCTGCAAGGTTCTTAATCCTTCTCTCCTCCCTTACAGCTGGAAGTGTCCACTCGCCTTCCACCAGCATGGCAGCATCCTCCCAGTACCGCCAGCTGCTGAGTGACTATGGGCCACCATCGCTGGGCTACACCCAGGTAGGGCAGCGTGGGCGCCTGCAAGGTGTGAGGGCTACACCCAGGTAGGGCAGCGTGGGCACCTGCAAGGTGTGAGGGCCTGGGGCTCTGGGGAGATGTGCTCACAGACTGAGGCAGTCTCCTCGAAACCTCGCCCAGCCCTGTTGGGTCATGGTTAGGACTTGAAGCGGCAGGATGGAGAGGTAGCCAGGACTGAGTGACAGGGGACGCTGAGGTTTGAGGAAGGGCAAGCACAGGGAAGGTCCCTCAGCCTCTGAGATGCAGTTCTGCCAGGGATAGCACCCCACATCTCTGGTGGCTCCTTCTTTTCCCGTTTCCTGGCAAGTAAGGCCTGACCAACTCTGGGCTGTAGGCTGGGTCAGAGGTAAGGCCTCCTCATCAGGAGCTGGCAGTTACCAGTGTGGTCCCCAAGTGAGTGGTTCTGCACTTAAGGGACTGCAGCCCCTCTTGGAAACCTCCAGGAGACTCGGGGTCCTCAGGGAAGGAGGGAGCCACCACTTTAGCCACAACTCGGGAGATATGGTACCCAGGGAGGTTCCCAGTCCTCTCGAAGCCCTGGTCACCAGCTGAAGATTCTCTCTTGGGCCAGACCCCAGGCCGAGTTCCGGGGTTGCCATGGAGCCTGTGCCGGGGTTGAGGTGGCTTCTCTGTCACTGAGTGTGGCTCCCCAGCCATGCCCCGGCAGGCTGTCTTGTCCCAGGAGGAGAAGCAGGCCCGGGCCCGGGAGAGGGACCGCCTGAAGAAGCGGCGACGGCGGGAGGACGGGCTGCGGCGCAGCCTGGAGCGGCAGCGCAACGCTCTGGCCATGCTGCGCCGGCGCCGGGAGAAGCGCGAGGCCAGGAGGCAGCTGTGCCAGGAGGCCGGGCGGCCAGGCTGGGCCTCGAGGCCTGCTGGCGAGGCCAGGGAGCAGAGGCGGCAGAGGCGGGAGGAGCAGGCGAGGGCCTTGCAGAGAGAGCTGGCTGCCCTGGTGCCACCGAGGGCTGAGCAGGCCCAGGAGGAGGAGCGGCCTGAGCCTGGTGCCTCGCTGATCTGGGTGCTTGCAGGAGCGCTGGCCGCAGTGGTCTGGAGAAAGGGACTTTCTGGCGGGTGGGCCCTGCCCATGGGGAGGACTGGGTGATTTGACATACTCCTGGCCCCGGCTGGGGTCTTGGAGTTGCCATTTCCACTTCACCTCTGGGTGGCTTCCATCTGCCATTGCTGTGGACACTCAGCCCCCAGAGACTCTCTCCTCATGGTCCCAGGGAACTCCCTGTGAATTCTTTTCCTGGAGACAGTTCTTTATTTTCCTTTGGGGTGGAAAGGAGCCTTCTGGGCTTTTGGGGGTCAGTCTTCTCTGGTGTTGTCCCCACAGTCCTGGGAGCCCACCCCAGGCTTTCCCTGCTCTGATCCTTCCCTGGGCTGTGCCTGTTTGTGGTCGGGGCCTAACCATGGCATTGGGGTCAGGTTCAATGCATTTGAAACCCCATCCTTGTGATTCTAGGGAACTGGGAATAGCCAGGTGCCCCAGAGCAAGTATGCGGAACTGCTGGCCATCATCGAAGAGCTGGGGAAGGAGATAAGACCCACCTATGCAGGGAGCAAGAGTGCCATGGAGAGACTAAAACGAGGTGAGCAGAGGTCCTGGGGGACCTACAGGCTGATCCAGTCACTATTTTGAAAGATTTTTTTAAAAGCTGGTCATGATGGCACATGCTCAGAGTCCCAGCTTCTTAGGTGGTCAAGGCCAGAGGATCACGTGAGCCCCCAGGAATTTGATGCCAGTTGGGGCAACATAGTGTGATCCATCTCAATAAAAAAACTGAAAGGTTTTCTCAGGAAAATGCTAGAGGTAGAAAAGGGTCTCCTGCTCCATGGTCTGCTTTGCTGCCGTGCAGTGGGGTGGGGGCAGGGCCGGTGATGGCTGGGTGTTTCAGGTGGAGTTTGTAGTGCACTGTCACTCTGGCATGCTGTATGAGAGGCCCTGGGGCTCCAGACCCGGAGGCCATGTTCCCTGCCTGCTCTGTCCCCTTAGGTGATACCAGCAGGGAGCCAGCTGCAGCAGGCTCTTCCTGGGCAGTGTTGTGCAGAGGTTGCTGGAAGGCCTGGGTTTAGGGCTTCTAGTTGTCCACGCTGCCCTCTGCTGTCACATCTTTGGCACAGGACCAAGGAAGGGGGCAGCCTGTCTTCATTGTGGGGCACCCTCAGGTTCTTTAGTGATGGAGGCGAGAGGAAGGTCAAGAGGGTGCTGTCACAATAACTCGGGAGGAGGATGTGAAGTAGCTTGCTACCTCTTGACATCAGATGCATGCAGGGAGAGGAGGATTTCTAGTTAGAGAAGTTGGCTGTTCACTGAGCTACATCCTCAGCAGTTTATTTATTATTATTATTATTTTTTTTTTTAAAGAGAGAGGAGAAGAGAGGGAGAGGGAGAGGGAAAGAGAGAGAGAGAGAGAGAGAGAGAGAGAGAGAGAATTTATTTATTTATTTATTTAAGTTCTCGGCGGACACAACATCTTTGTTGGTATGTGGTGCTGAGGATCGAACCCGGGCCGCACGCATGCCAGGCGAGCGCGCTACCGCTTGAGCCACATCCCCAGCCCATATTTATTATTTTTTTGAGAGAGGTTTTCCCTGAGTTCCCCAGACTGGCCTGGGATTTGTGACTCTTCTGTCTCAGCCTCTCGAGTGGCTAGGACTATAGGCATCTGCCACTGTACCCAGCAGAAAGCATTGTTGATAGACAGGTAAACTATAGCCCATGAACTGAGAAAGGTTTTTATAGTTTTTATTGGTGGCAAAAAAAAAAAAAGTGATTTGGAGACATATGAAATTGAGACTTCAGAGTTCATAAATACAGATTGATTTGGACTGGCTACACTCATGGTTTGTTCATTACGCCTGGCTGCTTTCACTATATGCTAGCCGAGTAGAGAAGCAGTGACAGACCATGAAACCCTGTAATAAATGCTGTCTGACGATTTGAGAAAGTTTTCTGAACCTCTGAGGCAGATTGTAAGAATACTGGGTGTGGACGCCTTGTTTTAGCTGCTGGTGATTTGGAGAGGTGATCATAGTGGCCTCTAGTCATATATACTAGAATAGAATTTTTGGTGTCTGTTTTAAATGAGATTAATATTTTATGAAGCTCAGTAGGGGCAGAAAGAAAAAGTTAGCCACCAAACCACAGAGAAAAAGTTGGGGAGCTTCATGGGCACAGGGCAGCTGAAGTTCCTGGGGGAAGGATGTCAAAGTGCACCAGCAGTTCCACAGGTGAGCAGTGTCCTCTAGTGCCTGAGGCATGTGGGCTGGGGGTTTCCTCTTACCTACTTGACACTGGCTCATCCCTTTCTAGGATTTAGAATTTGAAGAAGCTACATTGTGTCCAATGTAAAAGAACTTTTGCATTTCTTTCTCCCACCCTCCAAAAGAATATTGAAAAGGATAGCTTGCTGGTGCCACTCTGAGTGCAGGAGAGATTTTGGCAGTACAAAGAGGTTTTTTTGCCTAGGAGCAAGGAGCTTTGAGAGATGGGACTGTTAATGTCCCTTAACAGCTCATATATTTGGGTTTTCTATCAGAGGCAATGGTCCTCAATGTTACCCAAGGTGGTCTTGATCTCTGGGCCCAAGTGATCCTCCTGCACCACCCTCTAACAGCAGATACCATAGGTGTGCACCTCTACCCCCGGCTTTGAGTTTTTTGCATGTAGTTCCCAGGTTCCCTTCTAGTCTGAGGTATTATTTTTATTTCTTATTTATTTATTTATATGTGGTGATGGGGATTGAACCTAGGGCCTTGTGCATGTGAGGCAAGCATTCTACCAACTGAGCTATATCCCCAACCCCTTATTTTTAGTTTTTGCAGTGCTGGCAAACCCAAGGGCTGCACTCGTTAGGAATATCTTCCAACCTTTGAGCTATCCCAGCCCTTTTTTTCTTTTTATTTTGAGGCAGAGTCTCACTAAGTTGGCAAGGCTGGCCTTGAACTTGAACTTCTGGTCTTCCTGCTCTAGCTTTCCAAGCATCTAGGATTACAGGTGTGAGCCAACATACTGGGCACAATCTGAGGAATTTTTTTGGGGGGTGGGGGGGTTTACCAGGGATTGAACCCGGGGGTGCTTCACCACTGAGCTACATCCTCAGCCTCTGTGGTTTTTTTTTTTTTTTTTTTAATTTTTAGTTGTTGATGGACCTTTATTTTATTTATTTACATGCGGTGCTGAGATTTGAACCCAGGGCCTCACGTGCCGGGCAAGTGTTCTACCACTGAGCCACAACCCTAACCCCCCTCAGCCTTTATTTTTTGAGACAGGGTCTTGCTAACATGCTGAGGCTGGCCTCAAACTTGTGACAGTCTTAGGGTTTTATGATGGATCCTCCTGTTCTGGAAAGGGTGCTGATTGGGTTGATTCCAGACCTCGGCTTCTCTTTCAGGCATCATTCACGCACGAGGACTGGTTCGGGAGTGCTTGGCTGAAACGGAACGGAATGCCAGGTCCTAGCCTCCCCKCCAGCTTGGGAGTTCCTGGCTCTCTACAGCTCATCTCCCCTGTTCAGATGAAATACTCATTTTCAAAATGGTAACAGTTTAGTTTTTTCTCCCAAGGTTCACAGTCTCAAAATATTGGGAAAAGATTTCGAGGTTAATTAGGATTTGCATTTTAAGTAGTTAGGAACAACCCAGGTTGTTYTTGTTTTTGTTTTTTAAGATGCATGTGAAGTTATTTTACAGCAAACTGTTATTTGGCTCCAAGATACCAGTGTCTCCCTYTAATCTTTTGAATACTTTATGTCACCCAAATTGTTATTTGTACCTTTTCATAAGCTCATTTKATCCCAAGGACTTTGTTTTAATGCATCCTGACCACCTGCTTCACTTAGCTGGTCCCATGTGCCATACAGTGTAGATTCTGCTTACTGGCACTTCTTTTTTGCTTAAGCATTTGCATGACTMTTAGTGCTTTGAAGTCAATTTTAAGAGTGCACAAGTTATAAATACAGAAGAAAGAGCAACCTACCAAATCTAATAAGGACCCCGAAAATTTTCATRCTAAGACTGTATGTAGATTTCAGTTTGTGTTTACTGTAAGTTGATCAAAACATCTGGAAGAAAATGACTAAAACTGTTTGCATCTTTGTATGTATTTATTACTTGATGTAATAAAGCTTATTTTCATTAACAATGTGTATTGAGATGTATATTCCTTGAATTTCTAAGTGCAATTAAAGCAGTTCAGCCGTTGTGAAAGATTGGAGGTGACCTGTCAAAGGACATTTTCTGACATAGTTCAGCTGAAAGGACGTGTTTGCTTTAGCTTAGGTAGGGAAGACGCAGAGTTGCACGATGGGTTTATTTAAGCTGTAGTTAAGTGTATGCTAGGAAACCTGTGGCAGCCGTGAACTGCCCTTTCCGCCAGGGTGTTAGGAGCCACAGAGGCTATTTCTCATTCCACGTGGTGGCGACTTGGGTGTGCGCTGGAGGAAGGTTCTGCTCTGGAGCTGAGAGGAATGACTCCATGTGGTACTTTCCAGCAGTGCTTCCCACAGGGGCTCAGTTCATTTCTGCTGTGCAACCTCAGCACTGACCCCTGTGGTGAGGGTTTGCCTTGCTGAGGGGTAGACCCAGGAAAAGGGAGGGAGTTTTGCAGGTGGGAGGCAAGATCTGACTGGTGGGCGTGGGCTGTGGTGGGGTGGCTCCTCTGCACCTTCTCCAAGCATGTGACAAAGGTGAAGAGGAGAGGTCAGCTTCTGTTCTAACTGGCTGTGGCTCTAGGTCTGCCTTCCAATCTTACTGGTTTCTTGGCTCTCACTGAAGAGACTACTGCTCGGGGGGAGGTGGTGGGTAGGGTCCCTGATGGGAGGCATGGAGAGCCCTGCTCGGATGTCAAAAGGGCTGGGCTGCTGGATGGATCAGTTTCATGGCAGGTGATGTAGGCCGGGTTTCTGGCAGTCTGATGGTGGCCCCCTCACCTCAGTATTTTCCCTACCTGCAAGCTGTTAACCATGGATATAAAAAACCCAGAGAACAACGACAAAACCAAACCTATAAGGTCAAGTCCAGAGTGATGCAAACTCACAAACACATCAGGTTTTGGAACCTTATTCCTAACACATCTACTTGCATGTCAACACAGAATGACATGTTTTTCTACATCAAGAGACGTTACTTGGCAACATACAGTGTCTTAGTAAATGGGCAAGTAACTTGAGTATTTTTTTTTAACTTTCATCATCACTTTCTCTTACTCTCAAACCAACCTTAGGATAAATGACATCTTTTTTTGTTCAGGGATTTTTTTTTTTTTTTTTTTTTTGTTCAGGGATTTTGTTCAGTTCTTAACCACTGAACCACATCCCCAGCCCCCTCTTTTTTTTTTTAACTGTTTTTTTTAAAGAGAGAGAGAGAGACAGAGAATTTTTATAATGTTTATTTTAGTTCTCAGCGGACACAACATCTTTGTATGTGGTGCTGAGGATCGAACCCTAGCCGCACGCATGCTAGGCGAGCGTGCTACCGCTTGAGCCACATCCCCAGCCCCCAGCCCCCTCTTTTTTAAAATTTAGTTTTAGGTGGACACAATATATTTATGTGGTGCTGAGGATTGAACCCAGTGCCTCATGCATGCTAGGCAAGCACTCTACCACTGAGCTACAACTCCAGACCCTACCCCTATCCCTATAAAAAAAAAAAAAAAAATTTGGAGACTGGCTTTGAACGCGTGATCTTCCTGTCTCACCCTCCCAAGCCACTGGGATTACAGGCATGCACCACCGCACCCAGCAAATTTCTAAAGGTTTTATACAATAGACAATCAGGACTGGGATTGTGGCTCAGTGGCAGAGCGCTTGCCTCTCATGTATGAGGCACTGGGTTCAATTCTCAGCACAACATAAAAATAAATAAAGGTACTGTGTCCATCTACAACTAAAAGAAAAAAGAAAACTCAATCACATAAATCAATGGATAGCCTCAAGTAAGGTAAAGAATAAGCCAGGTGTGAGGGGAACACTTTAGTTCCCACTGCTCGGGAGGCTGAGGCAGGAGGATCACTTGATTGAAGAGTTTGGGGCCAGCCTGCCTTTCTTTTCTTTTTTTTGTGGTTCTGAGGATTGAACATGGGGCCTTATGCATTATAAGCGAGTGCTCTACCTCTGAGCTCTGCAGCAGCCCCAAAGACCCTTTCTTTGGGAAAAAAAAAAAAAAAAAAGGGCTGAGGTTATAATATTGGAAGGGTACCCATCTAGTATGTGTGATGCTCTAAGTTCAATCCCCAGCGCGCCACCTACCACACTTAGACCCATGAGCAGGTAACTTCCAACTGTTGCCCAGGTCAAGAAACAACTCCTCCAGCCATCCTGGAAGCCACATCAAGTGCCTCCCCCCAAAAGTAGCCAGTACCCTTTTATAGTGACAACTTTCTTGTGTTTTATAGTTTTATTCCCAAAGTGTGCATCAATATTCACTATAGTTTAGTCCACCACTTAAAAACTGATGTCTTTTAAACCTGTCAGTTATTTCTTTAAAAGCTTTGTACCAGTGCTGGTGACAGGAGTCGCCACCATCTTTCCCCGGAAGCCTTTTGGCGAAGTCAGCTGGAATCAGTGATTACTTTCTCAGTAGAATTTTTACTTGATTCCCATAATTGTTTCAATAGTTTCTTTTTTTCTAGAGTTTCCTTTGCTCTTTTTTTCCTGTCTTGCTTTTTCTTTGCTGCCTCCCGTTTTTCTTTGTAAATAGGACTATTTTCACCATTGTAGAAAACATCCACTTTCTCTTGTAGGATTTTCCGAGCGAGCTTTCTGTTGTGATCAACAGATCTTGTCTGATGGCACTGCAAGAGATAATGTTCCATGATGTGAAAATCATAGGTGTCAAAAGATGGAAGGACCTGTGAGAAATCTCTGCCCTTTATGGTCTGGTCAGGCCAGGGAGGTACAGCACTGGCCAGGAGTTCCCCTGAGTCTGTGACAGTGAATACCATATTCTTCCTGTCTTTGCTCTAGGTCTCTGCCCCTTCTCACACCCCAGCTGGGTTATGTGACTTTCACTGTTTCTGTTTTATAGTTGTTATTATTTTTTTTTTCTTTTTGGTACCAGGGATTGAACCCAGGGTCGCTTATCACTGAGTCACATCCCCAGCACCTCCTTTTTTTTTTTTTTTTTTTTTTAAAGAGATGGATCTCACTGAATTGCTTAGGACCTTGCTAAGTTGTTGAAGCTGGCTTTGAACTTGTGATTCTCCTGTCTCAGCCTCCTGAGCTGCTGGGATTACAGGCGTGTGCCACCATGCCCAACAGTTATGTTATTTTTGTTTAGAAGCAACAATAGCCTTTAAATAGCTTAAGTCCCCCCCCCCCCCAAATTGTGAAAACATTAACTGATGATCTGGCTGTGACCAGGGAACAAACCCGTGCATCATCTGTATGCACCATTTGTAAGCTAAAGACTCTATCTAATAGAGGAAAATACTATCTTTATTATTAGCCAATCACAGCATTCCTTATATAAAGGCATTGTCATTATGGGCAAATAACTTGCAAAGCTGGTTGACAACAAGAGTGAAAGAATACCAGAAGCAAGCCAGAAGCCACATGAAGTAGAGAGGCTCAACAAAAATTAATGATACAAGTTTTCAGAATTTCATTACTTGTGAATGACAGTTTTCCTTAGGAGGAAAAGAAAAGTGATTTGAGCTTTTAACTGGTGTGCCCTTGGCTTCCGAAGTTGGCAGTAAAGTGTAGCTATCAGGAACATCGACCCTGGATTCAGTCAAACCTTGGGCAAGTTATATGACGAGCATGGGGTTGTGGAGATGGAAAAAGTCAGTGTGTATGTACAGTTGCTTATAAGAGTGTCATGTGATGTGTGGGTATTTGCTACTAGTACCTGGGGACAACTCATTTGCCCCTGTGCTAGCTCTCTCTAGTGCCCTCCAGGCTGGTGTTGCTTTGGGGCCCTCTAGTGATAGATGTGTGGTAAGATGGGCTGGCAGCTCCAAGACCAGACCAGGAGACAGGTGAGAGCACTTCACCACTTGCTAGAGGTTCAGGACTGGCTGAGAGCTGGTGGTATTTTTGATAAGGGATTTTTTTTTTTTTTTAAATAAGGAGATGCCTACAGGCAGCTGTATAGAGCACTTTTTCTTCTGAGGCTCAACATGATTTGCTGGATGGGTAGGTGTCACTGACATTGACCAAAGTGGCGCCAGAAGAACATGGAGGATGTGGCCATTCATTAGCCAGCCGTCAGCTGATGGCTGCCATAGCTAGCAGGCAGCATGGGCCCACTTGCTGCCCCTCAGAGACCCTAGGCCACAGCAGTGCCACAGGTCTCTGGTCACCAGTAGCTAGAGTGGATTTGAAGGAAACACGCTACCCAGGGACCTGCCTTTACCAGCTACCACCACTTTGCCTGGTTGAGATGCTGCTGCGTAGGCAGCAACCAGACACCACCAGTGCTGCCTGCTAATTCAAGGATGGCACTAGTACCCTGGCTCCAGAGGGTCCTGGAACCAAGCTTCTAAGGCTGTATGGGGAAACTGGCCCAGGGCACAGGGCAGATCTGCTGGTAGAGGATGGCCCATGCCAGGATGAGAATGCCCTCAGCAAACACCACCTGCACTTAGGAGAAGCCCACTGTGGCTGCAGAGCCCCTGGCCTCTCCCCTCTACCTTGACAACGATGCCGGAGGGGATATGCTTCAGCACCACACAGTTGCTGGTTTTGTTGGTGGCTTGGCCCCCTGGTCCGTGTCCTTTCACAAACTGCTCTTCAAGTTCATTCTCATCCAGGGGAAGCAGAGCAGGACAGTCCTTCTTGCCTGCCATCTGGACCACTGTGGCAGCTATTCCTGGGGATAGCAGTGTCAGCTTCTCCCAAAGCCCAAGTCCCCGGGGCACTGTGCATAGTCTGGTCAGTGGTGCAGGAAATCGGAATAAACCTGAGATGGTCATAAAGGATGTGGCTGGGCTTATTCAGGACCTAAAATGGACAAGGAAAAAGACCGGCTTTTCAGGAAGATGCCTTTGCTCTGAAGATGGCAGAACAAGTTCTAAGGCAGCTTTTAATACAATTCAAATGATGACCCACCCCACCTGAGAAGAGATGAGCCATTCAGCACCTGCGTCCAGTTGGCCTTGCCCATGGTGTCCTCCCCAGTCCATCCCTGCCAGCTAACAAATATCTCCTCCTAACAGGCCAAAAATATCTTCAAAGCACCCAGAGGTGCTGTTCTCTCAGGAAAGAGAGGTTTGAGTGTGAAATTCAAAGGAACAGGGACATAACTTGATAATTATTTAAATAGCACATGAGGCAAGGATTAGGATGTTAATCAAATGACAGTATTTAAATGTCTGTGAATTTGAAATCAAAATGTAAAGATGACAGTATGACTCCATTTTAGAGCTGAGCTTAAACAGTCTGACACAGTAAACTTCACTATCAATCAATGTCATGATTGTTGTTTTTCAATGTTTCCAGTTTCATGAATTTGAATAAGAACATCTGTTCCCCTGGACACACTGCCAATAATGTGATCCAACTGGTCCTCATTGCTAGGACTACCAAATCAACCAAGTTTCATTAAGGTGCCTGTGAAATCTGAAACCGCATGTTCAGTGTAGTGAGGGTTAGGAGATGAAAAAGAGCTGGCCTCTGTCTTCATGGGGCTGACAAGCTAGTATGAGAAGATATTTAAAAAGCAAGTGAGAGTTGAGATGCTGAGGACTGAACACAGGGCCTCGTGGTGCTGAGCACATGTTCTACCACTGAGCCACATCCCCAACACTGGGAAAGTGGGAGAGGGAGAAGGAGAGAGAGAAATGTGGGCTATCTCAAGACATAGACATTTTGGGGGTAAAGAAGTAAGAAAAGTACATTGTTCAATATGGAGGATGCTGGCCATCTTGAGTGAGAAGCTTTTTGGGTGAAGCAAGGAATACACAATTAAGGGAGAATGAGGATCATTTAGAGATGTAGAAACAGCCAATAATAAAATATTTAACTACTTGAGATAGAGCATAAGGTTGAAATCACTTAGCTGGTAAATGAACATGCAGGAATATCAGCTATGAGGTGGTGGTGAATCCCACAGGCCTTTGCTTTTTTCAAAGGGACAAACRAAGATGAATCTGGTCTCCCCAAGAACAGGGAGAGCTATAGCCCTGGGCCTGAGTTCTAAATTGTAAAATGGGTGAATTAGCCCTTCTCCACCCATCCCACACAGGCACAGAAAAGACCAGAAAACAAGTGTTCTGGAGAGGGCTCTGTGGGTGCCTTCTTTGTTTAAGACGGATTTATCAGCCAGGTGGATGGTGGGAACTGCAGCTCTCACGCTTGCCGACAGTGTATTCGGTGTATTCGTTGGGAGACAAGGTAGTGAACAGAGGCGCTGCTCTTTGGTGACGGCTCTGCCAACTCTCAGGGGTGGGTCACTACCCTAGCTCTGCCCTCAGCCTGTTCACTTTCCCCACATTGTCAACTGTGCCTGCTGACATCACTGAGCACACTCGGAGCTCTGGAGGAGTGTTTCGGGGGGAGTGACCCAGGTGCTTTTCCTATTTCTGAGTGATCAGTACCATTGACACTGAGATGACACTGGTCATCTTTGAATGACAAGACAATTCCCTCATCTTTACCTCTGCTATTTATGTGGGACTATAATGAGACCTCACACGACAGGTTTTCCAACCTTCTGCTCTGCTAGTTCTCAATTCTATGGGTTATACGCATGTCTTCTTGTGGTGACCACGGCATGCTCAGTCTCAGTAGGCAAGGAACTCCTTGGCTGAGGAGGATATGTTTTGAAAGAGAGCCAACGAAAATGCGGCTTTGAAAACTGGTTTTGTTTAATGTATGTGAAATATTTTACAAGTATCCTCAAGAAAAAGCCAGAAACTTCCTCCACAATCTCTTCAACAATGGACTATGCATGGTAGAGAGAGTGGACGAGTCCATGTCCACAGTTCCCCCTCCCCCGTTTTTGCTCTCCATCTGCAGAACAAAATTCCTTTGTGTGTCAGCAGCTTCTGGACCCGAGAGTGGATTCACTCTGGAACATGAGCCCAGAGCCTCTCTAGGGTTTCTCTTCCGCTCATTTGTGAATTGGAGGAGGCAGGACAGCACTGGTAGATGGTGCTGCGACAAAGAGAGGAAGACGCCTAGACGAGGCGAGGCCCAGACAAAGCAGGCAGTGGAGAGATTTCAGAGCTGCTTTGTTACAGACCACTGTTCAAACCTTGGCTCTTCTGTCCCAATTCAGAGCTGACAGACATCCTGGAAGCTCCCACCCAAATGAAGTTCAAGAAGGTCCTCAGTGTTTGGTTACTGGCTGCTTCGCTTAATGGTTAATTCCAATAGCCAATCAGACAATTCTAGACTATTCTAGTATCTCCTGGAGCTTTGGCCCTATTCCAATGACTGCTAAAAGTGACAGTCCCCTTTCCCAACACCCAAAGAATATGGATTGGATTTCAGTTTTTGTGATATACACAGAGCAATCTAAAGTTTTTGGAGAACAATAAAACAGCTCAAATTATAGCTCATCATGACATTAAAAAAGAGAAAGAGAAAAATGGTAAAAAGAAGTGCGAGTAAGGAGAAACCAGCAGTCACAACAGCTTTGCCCTCATTCTGGGAGTGTGGGCTCTAACTGAGGGCCGGCTTTGTCCCCACTTCCCTCTGTTCTTCCTTCCTGAGATGGCTTTCACTCTTAAACAGCTCATCAAAGTTTAGAGTAAAGCCCTCAGTCCATTTCAACTCAGAGATGACAGATCTGAGGACTTCACAAAAGGAAATGTTAATTTGTCCAATAAATATTTTAATTATCCACTGAGTTTAAGGCATAGGTCTCAGGGAGCCCAAGGAGCCTATATCATAAAACAAAAATTAAGACATCTATAAAAATGATTTATGCCATAGCCCAGGACAGACATGCTATTGAGCTGTAGTTCTCAAACTTTAACACGGCCCCAAATCACTTGGAGCACTTGTTATCAAGACGTGGAAGCTGCATTCCATTAAGCTGCGCCTGTCTTCATCACTGGATCCAGAGAGCACATCCCCTCCTCTAGCTCCACAATCAGTTCAACAGAAGAAATACAGCTAGCTGCAGAGATATAGGCTCAAGTCAGCACCAAGCCCAGACGGGACTGTCTGAGGCTAGAATTGGATGCAGGAGGCAAGGCCACGCCACCAACAACTGCACTGGTCTGGGGAGGGTGGAGGGTGGTGGTACCTGCTGCTCCTTTAGTGTCCCTAAGACAGACAAAGCTATTTGATTTGAATCTGTTTTTAGAAAAGCACAAGACTTTGATCACTGGACCTGTCTTCTAGATACTGTTTATTTAAAATTCACTATTTTAAGTGTTTTTCTTAGGAAGGGAGAGTACTGGTTTCCCTTAGTCACAACCTTGCAGAATCAACTGAAGGAGCCGATGTGGAGACTTACTGGAACAGGATGCTTGAGGAGAGATGTTCACAGCCAGGCTCACCACTCAAATTCCAATTCCAATGCACCCCCTTCTCCACCCCGGAGTCTTTCTACATCTGACGCTGGTTCTTCAGTGGGGTACAAGGCCTCAGATTCTGTTTTTCTAACCAGCCCTGGGTTGAGGCTATTGCTGCAGATCCAGAGACTGTACTCTGGGTGTCCAAGAGCTTTGAGCCAGGCTGCTGCAGGCACCCTGCACTTAAGGTCATGTGACTGCTTGAGGAGAGCCTGGGGTTGTAAAAGAGTGTGGTGGGAGGGTTGGGAAACCATCTAGACCAGAGAACTAAAAGATTGTTGATTTGAACTCGCAGAGAAGGTGACATGGCAATGCATGGATTGAAAAACTGGGTCAAATGGAAAGAATACAAAAAATGTTGCCTCTGTGGCATTAATGTTCCAGAATAGTATTACCCAACGGAAATATACTGTTAGCTGCACATGAATTCTAAGTTTTCTAGTAATCATACTAAAAATCATAAAACTGATTATTTATAATATATTTAGCACAATGTATTAAGAATATTATTTCAGGGCTGGGATTGTAGCTCAGTGGTAGGGCGCTTGCCTGGCATGCGTCAGGCACTGGGTTCGATCCCCAGCACCACATAAAAATAAACAAATAAATGGAGATATTGTGTCCATCCAAAAAAAAAAAATTAAAAAAAAAGAATATTATTTCAATAGGTAATAAACAGCTGGCATGGTAGCCCTTGCCTGTAATCTCAGCAACTTGAGAGGCTGAGGCAGGAGGATCACAAGTTTGAGGTCAGCCTCAGCAACTCAGCAAGACCCTGCCTCAAAATAAAAAGGGTTGGGGATGTAGCTCAGTGGCAGAGCACCCTTTGCGTTCAATCCTCAGGGCAGGGGAAAAAAATACAGCTACTGTTTATTTTATTTTTATAACATTTAAGGTGAGAGTAGAATTCAGAAGGGTTGAGTAATTGCTTATTCATGTGAGTCTTCTCTCCCCTTCCCCAATAAATCACAAGTCTCAAAACAAAAAAATCCAATAAATGATGAAGGATCAAACATGTTGAAAATGTCTTTAAAAAGACAAAATGGCCTGCTGATGGCACAGAAGCTAAGAGAGAGGAGAATGATTTTCTGAGAGCGTGGATTTTTCTGTTGTTGCTGTTTGTTTGTGTCTGCAGTGCTAGGGATCAAAATCAGAGCTTTGTGCACGCTAGGCAAGTGCTCTACCACCGAGACACACCCCAGCCCTCAAAAGTGTTTTCTGATGCCCCCTACAAAATGGGAGTTAAAAGAAAGTAGCCTTTCTCTGTTTTTCGTATGTAGCTCATCCCCCTATACCAGAAGGCCTGAAGTCCTTGTAAGGGCTGACTTTCCTCTCCAAAGGGAACTGCTGGTGTCCTGCAGGACAGGCGTGGGGCTTCACGCTGAGGATAAAACACCTCTTACCCACAGTCAGTGTTCACAGAGAATTATCTTTCCAACAAGTACAGCACAATAGATCCAGCAGGAAATGCAGAGCTGTCATCTTTGATTTGGGGGACCAGTGGAAAAGATGACGGCTCTGGGTCTGGTCTAAATGTAATAGGCTCACTGCTGCAGAGTTCAAGAGACAGGTAATGAAGTATATAAAGAGAAACATCCAATTCATATAATACTGACATCCTGTTCATTTTTTTTTTAAACAGAAAACTTTAAAGAGAATTACACTTGTCCTATCTGTGAGCACCACTGTAATTTTCTTCTATTTATGGCATCTCACAGGAACCTTATAATTTATCAACTACATTTTAAAAACAGAAACACATAAAAGAGCAACAATAACACTACATTTTCTTCTAAAAGTCTCAAAGCCTATAGCCATTAATGATGCCTTGTATTTATTTAGTACTTAAAATGTTTCAAAGCACTTTAAAATGTATTATTGGATTTGACACAAATGAAGAAAATAGGGAAGGTACAATATATGGATTCTCTCAGGAAGACTTACCTTGGAAGATCACTGAGTTTTCAATTAATTTTTTTTTCTTAAGCTGTAGATAGACACAATACCTTTATTCTATTTATTTGTACTGGTGCTGAGGAGCGAACCCAGTGCCTCACACGTGCTAGGCAAACACTCCACCGCTGAACTATAACTCCAGCCCTGGTTTTCAATGTTTTTATCTTAAATATTTTTTTTAGTAGTCAATGGACCTTTATTTTATTTATTGACACACGGTGCTGAGAATCAAACCCAGTGCCTCACACATGTAGGCAAGTGCTTTGCCACTGAGCCACAATCCGAGCCCCAAGTTTTCGATTTTTGAAACTAAGTTTATCCTTTCCTTAGCTTCACCAAATAGTTCTTTTCCTAGTAAAATGTCTCCCTGCCACTCTCTGTCCAGCATTCAATGTCTCAACTTTCTGTGTAACTTTGGCCATGTTTCCTTATCTGTAAAATGGAGACAATAACATCTAGGGTGAGAATAAATCCTACATGTTGCCACAAATGTAAAGCTCTAGTGCTCACTAAGTGGTAGCACTTCAACTGCCTAAACTACAAAGCTGAGGAACCTCTGACTAACACACCACATAAGTCGTGGTCTTATGGCATAAACCCAGGCAATATACTAATTATTCCATGCACTTTTCGGAGTTCAGATTGAAAAGGCAGCTAGAACAGTGACCTGCAAGTTATTTTCTTTGGTTGGTCCAATTTAAGAAATACTTGGAAACCACAAAATTGCAGGAGGCAGTTATTTGGTGAGGTCATAATTCTGGTTCATGAACTGGGATCATTATGATGCCAAAACACAGTCTGAATTCTTGGCAGGCTCCCATTGAAAGATAAGAACACTTACAGCAAAGTAAGCCCTGGCTCAAACATAGCTGTATCTAGGAATACAGAAAGAAGAAAGATACAGAAAAAATTAAATGTAAGGTTGGGGATGTAGCTTAATGGTAGACCAACTACACAGCATGCTTGAGAACCTGGATATGATCCTAAGCACCATGAAAAAAATTTGAAAGTGAACCCAGGGCCTTGCCCATATTAGGCAAGCACTCTGTGAGTTATATCCCCAGCCCATTTAAAAAATTATTTTTTTGAGGTAGGGTCTCCCTTAGTGGCCTAGGTTGGCTTCACATTTGCACTTTTCCTGCCTTAACCTTCCCAAGTGGCTGCGATTATGATGTGAGTCACCATACCTGGCTTAAAGACTCATTATTTCTCATTTTATTGTTGTGAAGACACCCCCACCCCCGCCACAGCAAATTGTTTGGATATAAAAGTCAATGACAGGGCTGGGGATGTGGCTCAAGCGGTAGTGCGCTTGCCTGGCATGCGTGCAACCCGGGTTCGATCCTCAGCACCACATACCAACAAAGATGCTGTGTCCGCCGAGAACTAAAAAATAAATATATATATATATATAAAAAAAAGTCAATGACAAAAAGTAACACCCTGGTTAACAGGAAATATCTCAAGTCATCAATGGCCTCTATTGCTCAATAGCTGTTTGATTACTTAAAAACTATTAATTTGAAGCTTTCAAGACAAACAAGAAATACTTGAAAACTTGATGTTATGATAAAACAATAAGGTAATCTCATACCATTATAAAAGTCATAAACTAGAGTTCACTAATGCAAGGTCTCTGGCATGAGGGTTATTCATATTAGACAACTGTGTTAAGACATTACTTGAATTTTTGAAGCCTCTGCTTTTAGCTTTCCTTGGACTTTAAAAACAGACATTCTTGGCTTGTTTACAAAGCTTTTAAAAAGACATTTCTTAATCCAGTAAAGGCAATTTCCACTTTGAATTTTTTAAAATTAAGACTCTACTAAAGACATATGGGGGGGGCAAGGGTTGTGGCTCAGCAGTAGAGGGCTCACCTAGCATGTGTGAGGCCCTGGGTTCGATCCTCAGCACCACATAAAAATGAATAAATACATAAAATAAAGTTATTATGTCCATCTACAACTAAAGAAAAAATAAATATTTTTAAAAAGACATATGGTGTAAGCAATCTTATCAAAATATATCACTGAATCATTTAATATGATAATATAATGCTAGATCCTGAACACATTGGCTTATTAAGACATTCATGAATTAAAAAGAAATTACCTACAAGTCCCCTAAAATTGCTCTGCCAAAAACTAACTAAAAAACACACTCCCAGGGCTGGGGTTGTATCACAGAAGTAGAGTATTGCCTAGCATGTGTGAGGCACTGAATTCGATCCTCAGAACCACATAAAAATAAAAGTCCATCAATAACTAAAAATAATAATAATAAAAACTCCAAATACACTATCAAAATAAGTCTGATTTTGTAATCAAAAGCAATGATCAACTACCTTCTTCATGGTTAATAACTAATCACTAGTAATAGCTTTTAGGGCTAATATTTCTTTTCTGAAACAGATCTTTGGTTGTCTAGAACTCTTCTCAGTTCTTCTGAGTGCGAGATTCTATAGTGCGTCTCAGCCGAAATTAGTGATAATTTTTTGAGTGTGGACCTGATATATTGTCACTGAAAATATAGCCAGGTGCTGAGAACATTTTGATTTTGGTTAGGTGTTACATGAGCATAATACTGATAGGTGGATTACCACACGGGGTCTGGGTTTCCATTTATTTAAGCCTCAGATCTGACACACYGATGGGGTTTTGGATGGAGACTGTTTTACTGTTGAAAATAATAGGTATTCTAAGGAAGTGCAATGAGATGGAGGCCTCCAGGCACATTAGTCATTCCAAGGGGAAATCCATCCTTTGCATCCTGGCTTCTCAGTATCATCTCTGGCACACTTAAGTGACAGTACCTGCGAATTATCGCTCAGGCCAGGACACCGGGGGTAGCCTGACCGCAGGAGGTATTCGCTTAGTATTAAAGGCTAACTAGGCTGAAGAACAGGCTGGTCAGTACGTATCAGATGGGCTGAGGCCCACGGGAAGTAAAGCGGCTTTCGGCGGTCTTCCCAAGCTTAGCAAGGGCAGTGCCGACACCTACTACGTGCCACTCCCAGGACAGCACTTGCCGCGTGGCCACAGCTGCATCCCGCTCTGCTTAACATGCAAATTAGACCTTTCTCTTCGGCCTCCGGGAACTGCTCTCTCCAGGGCGGGGATCTCTGCTCCTCTCCCGCGCCCCGAGGGCTTGAGCACCAGCAAGTCTACCCAAGCAGCTTAGGGTAAAACGCGCGCTGGGGTCGGGACCGGCTCCTGCTCCACCTCGCCACCAGGCCCCCGGATAAGCTGGTTGTTTGACAGTTCGCAAGACCGGAAAAACTCAGGCGTCTGGACTCCCAGGTCTCTCCAGAGCCCTGGACAATCGTGAGCAGCCCTAGGGACTCTGCTTTCTTCGCGGATGCTTACCTGGTCTTGGCACGGACCTCCCTCCGAAAACGTTCAGGGTGAACTCGAAGCACCGGAGACCTGGGAGCGCGCAAGTGCGCACGCGCAGTACGCTCGCAGCGGTCCCTCACCTGCCGGAGGCGCATTCCCACTAACTGCGCATGCGAGAAGCTGAGACTTCTTTCCCGCGTGCAGCGGTAGGTTCCCAGAGAGCCAATCAGAGGGGAGATCTTGACAGTAGCCCCACCCTCCACACCCCTAGCTTCGAACCTTCCCGATTGGCGCGCGGGGAAGTGGGTGGCAGATGCGCGCACCGCGCTTAGCCGTCTCCGCCCCTTTCCGAGCAGCCAATCGCGGGAGAGACGCCGGACGCGCGCACGTCCCCTGGAGTTTAACGGTCGCGCGAGGCAGCTGGCCGACCCTGACTTCGGCAGTGGGAGCGGCGGCCAGGTAAGTGACAGTCTGCCTGCTGAGAGCTGCTGGCCGCGGGGCATGGGGCACGAGATGTAGCGGACACCTGAGTGCGCAGATGGGCCAGGGTGAGGGGAGACAACTGTCAAGGGAGCAGCCCGGCCAGAGCTCACTGGCGTGTGGTGTTCTTCAGCGCTGCGTGCTCCTTTTCTAGACTCGGTACCCTTGAGTGACACCCGCGCGGCCCAATCGCAGAGCGGCCTTTCTGAGGGGCGGGGGGGCTTTTTTATTATTAATTAATTTCTTTTTTTTTTTTTTTTTAATTGACAAGGTGCCTGGGTGCCTGAGTCTCCGCGGTGGTTTCTGCCACCAGCGCTTTTCTGTCCTCTCTGGTTTGACGCGGTAGCCGCCTCCAGCAATAGGGGCTGTGGCCTCCGCCCGCAGCGGTGGCGCGGCCGCCCTGCGGGGAGGACGCCCAGTCCACCTCCGGCTGCTGAGGGCCCCACCGGTGTTCCCTGTCCCCACCCCCGTTTTCTAGTGCGTGGGGGCGGGGGCGGGAGGGGCAGATTTTGTTGCTGGAAAAATATAAAAACGCCTCTGTTGCTATATTTATTCCCTATCAACTTTCCCTTTTTTAAAGACATTTTGCATCTATGTCAGCCCCTCCCCCGTTTTGCTGACTTCACCCGCCCCGCTCCACAACCGGAGAGGCCACCCGGAATTTCTGGTTTTCCGTCGGGATCCACCGCATCTAGTGGCCTGGTGGCCTCAGCGGGGGAGGTAATAGATGGGGTTGCAGATCCGGCCCCCTGGCGTGGCTGGGACTCGGGTGTGGAGCGGGCAGCCCCTGGCTTGTTCAATGCCCTGTTTGTCATTGGTGCTGGGCCCAGCCACTGGGGAGGCCTGCATTTAGCTCGGTCTGGTTACCCTGGGCTTTCACACCTGTCCCCGAAGGAGATGCTTCCTTGATGAGCTGATAGCTTTTGGTGTAGTGCTTTTCTAAAACCTGGCCCTAGGAAGTGGGAGCCCTAGGTAATGGTCCTCGGTTGCACTCTTTTAAACGCTTCTTACTGTGAGCAGCACAGGGTTTTTTTGCCCCCCACCCCTTTTGTCTTTCTTTTCCCCTGGTTTCCTCAATTCTTTTTAAATGCCTGAATTCGCAAAGAAGGAGGCATATTGTAATAGTTTAGTTATAATTCAGTTAAAATTTAGTTGACCTGACAAATAGTTTATTTTTAAAGAAATGATACATGCACAGAGTACAAAAGACTAGATAGTGCAAAGTTTGCTTTCAGACAGTAGGGAAACAATTGTGTTAACAGTTTTCTCTTTTTAATAATAAGCAGTTAAGTTCTTCTAGTCACTGTATGAAACTAACAAGCATACTTGTTAGAATTTATTAAGTGAACAATGAATGTAAACATTCCAATTGTTACATAATAGGATTGTGTCTAGAAGCTTGATTATTAAATACAAAATTCTGAAAAAGATGCTGCTGTGTTCATAAATCACCCTTAATGTAGATTTTTAAATTGAGATCTATAATTCACATGCCATAAAATTTATCCTTTTCAAAGTGTAAGTTTCAGTGGTTTTTAATGTATTTACAAGGCTGTAGAACCATCACTAAATGCAAAACTTTTCATTACCCCCAAAAGAAACCCTGTACCTATTTCAGTCACTCTGATTCTTTCCTACCTGCGACTGCTAACAAATGTTAATCTACTCTCTGTCTCTGAATTTGCCAATTTAAGTATTTCATATAATTGAAATCATACATTATGTGGTTTTTGCGACTGACTTTTACTTAGCATTGTGTTTCATTCATGTTATAGCATGTACCAAAACTTCATTCCTTTTTAAAGCTGAATCATACTCCATCATATGAATGTGCTACTTGTCATCATCCATGCCTCTGTTGATGGACATTTGGGTTGTTTCTGTATTTTGGCCATTGTGAATATTGATGCTGTCTTTAATGTATATTTTATAAAAGAAGTGAAGATTTCCAAAGTCACAAAAGGACAGTTGCTAAGTTAGTGGCTTTTTGTACAAGTATTTTTCCCCCATTCATTTTCAGACTCTCAAGGAAGTTTAGGATATTTCACAGTTCTGAATGTTAGCAACTGAAAATGCCGGTAGACGATGAAGCATCTGAAGATGACCCGGATTCAGTTTCCTCAAACAGTGAAAGAGCCTATATTTTCAAATAAGAGAGTATAACAATTTCTGTACACTATGGAGGATTTTGACTTGGTGAAAACCTTACAAAAAGCTTCATCTGTAGAATCTGATATCAAAAATTCTCCCCATTCTCTTGGATTGAGCTTAAATACTAATAGGTAAGAATGGGATAGATATTTTGTAACAATAAACTAAAATAACTTTATTTGCATAGTTTATCAGTTTATCCAAATAGTGTTATAGTTGCTGATTTAAATGTGTTAAAAAAATCAGGAACTGTTCAGGAACAATTATTTAAGTTGAGGATAGTTTTAGTTCTTTTGTGTTTTTCATTTCTTCTAGAAAAATGTGTTTCTGCATGTGGAGCATTGTGAGAAAGAACTTATTTTGCTAATTGTTTCTTTATGCTTTTTTAAATTTTTAATTTTTTGCTTTGGTAAATAAGAATATTTAAAAATTTTTGTTGCCTAATTATTATTTCTGCATTTTAAATTAATGGTACAACTAATGTCTTGTATTGCAGAAATACCTCACCAATCTGGAAAGTAGAAATTAAAATTAAATATTAGGAACTAAGCAAAAAACAGTCTCTGAGATAACAAAATAGTCAACAAAATGAATCTTATTTTTAAGCTTTTCCATAGTTGATTTTTTGTTTTTGTTTTGTTGTGTTGGATGGAACCTGGGGCCTTGTGCATACTAAGCAGACCCTCTATCACTACCTCTGAGTACATCCCAGCCTGGTGTGGGGTTTTTTTTTTGGTGCTGAGATTGAACCCAGGGGCTCTTTTCCACATTTCCAGCCTGTTTAATTTTTTTATTTTGAGATAGGGTCTTACCAAATTGCTGAGGCTGGCCTTGAACTTGTCCTTGTGACCGGCAGTTAAATCTACGTGATGAAACTAGATTATTAAAACTGTATAAATCCCTTATGAACAACATATCATGTTCTTCTTTCCCTTGAAATTTTAATACTCTACCTGTCCTAACTCTATTATTTTACTATTATTTTTCATTATTACCTYTTTCTCTTTCTCTTTCTTTTTTTTTTTTTTAACAAATTCTTTGTGAAACAAAGCAGGGTATTAATAAGAATTAAAATGACCTTTCAGTGCCTAGATTTTAAACAAAATTCAGTATCCCGAATAATGATTTATGTGTTTATAAACAAATCTGAATTAAACTTAGGTTTGGAAAAATCAGTCTTCCTGGAAGGAATCACAATGAATAGGCTAAATAAGTCCTGAATATTTGCTGCTAATTTGCTTGGCATAAGCACCAGAACATCACACCAATGAGGGGATCCAGGTGACAAGACTTGACTGTAATTTTGGAAGTGGAGAGAGAGACCCCACTACACAGGAAGTGCTATTCTCCAATTAGGACGAGATAGTGCTCTGGAACATACAGATCTGCACCTGGAGACTGCTTAGTACCCGCTACCACAGACTCATTTCCTGCTGATTCTTTGGAGTGTTTTCATTATGCCTGAGAGGTTTTTCTGTTGGTTTTTTTWAAAAAAAGATTTCTAAGCACTGCCTGTCATTTTACTGATGTCTTCCTTTTGTGACCAGACTTATGATCAGATTCTAAACGATTGAGGTACCATTAGAAGGATTAAATATCAGTGGTTTTGTATTACTTTGCTAAATCTTGGACTGCTGAATTATTCAACACTTTGGTAGAATGAAGAAAACCATTTGAATTATTTATGTTTCAACAGAAGTAGTACAAATGGGGTATCCTCTTTCTCAGGGAAGACCAGACCCTCTRCCATTCAAGGTACAGCTGAGTTCCTAAACTCCTTAACGCAAGAGCTACAGAACAGTGGAAAGACTGATTCGGAACTTTGGAAAAACTGTGAGGTATCGTATCTTGTTTTGTTTTATTTTGATAATTTTAAAGTAATTACATTTAAATGAACTTCTACTGAATTCTATTATGAATTTGTATTCAGAAGAGCACAATACTTATTGTGGAAGTAGTTAGGTATGTTTGTTGGAGAACAATATTGAATGTAAAAAAGGTGATCAAAAATATTTTTGGGCTGGGACTATAGCTCAGTTGGTAGAATGTTTGCCTTGCATGCACAAGGTCCTGGGTTCAATCCCCAGCATCATAAAAAAAAAAGTATTTTTGATGGGTCTCACAAAAATAGAAGGGAGACCAGTAGAGTAGAGGAAGGAGGTGGAGAGAGCTGGCAAGGGGGAGGCATGGAAAGTGAGTTCACCATGTTACACAGTGTCCACATAGAAAGACGCCATGGTGAACATGGCTTATAATTTTAATGCACTGATTAAAATAAAAATACTAGGGATGGAGATGTAGCTCAGTGATAGAGCACTTGCTTGGCATGAGTTCAATCCCTAGTACCTCAAAAATAAAGTCAATAAAATAATAAAATAACATCGATAATAATAATAGAAGGGAGATCAGTAGAGTTGAGCAAGTGGATTAAGGGAGGGAGGAGGGAGGGAAAAAGAAGGAAAAAAAGTATTTTTTAACAATATATTACCGGGGCTGGAGATGTGGCTCAGCGGTAGCGCGCTCGCCTGGCATGCGTGCGGCCCGGATTCGATCCTCAGCACCACATACCAACAAGGATGTTGTGTCCGCCGAGAACTAAAAAAAAAAAATAAATGTTAAAAAAATTCTCTCTCTCTCTCTCTCTCTCTCTCTCTCTCTCTCTC